TTCTGTATATTGCAGAAAACCAGTAGTAATGCAAATAATTGCAAATGATACTCATCTGTGGAGATACAATTGATTTCTTCTGAAGCCCTTTAGAAGAAGCCAAGTTTGCATCTATCAACCAATTCATTTCTGCATTCCTTTTTTTTTTTTTTTTTTTTTTAAATTTTTTATTTATTTATTTATGATAGTCACAGAGAGAAAGAGAGAGAGACAGAGTCACAGGCAGAGGGAGAAGCAGGCTCCATGCACCGGGAGCCTGATGTGGGATTCGATCCCGGGTCTCCAGGATCGCGCCCTGGGCCAAAGGCAGGCACCAAACCGCTGCGCCACCCAGGGATCCCATTTCTGCATTCCTGATTACCTTCATGAAAGTCTTTGGGGATGCCTGGGTGGCTCAGCGGGCGAGCGTCAGCCTTCAGCCCAGGTCATGATGCCGGGGTCCTGGGATCGAGTCCCGCATTAGGTTCCCACAGGGAGCCTGCTTCTCCCTCTGCCTGTGTCTCTGCCTCTCATGAGTAAATGGATAAAATCTTTTTATATATAAAGTATTTGGATTATCCTTTGAACCAGTTTTACATCTTGTGGTTTCCCGCAAGCAGGGAATTAGACCTTGGACACATTTTCCTTTTGTATTTGTGTGATGATTTTACTCCCTCTGCCCTGCATTGTCCTTTTAACAGACTCACCTCCCTACCCCACTACCAGGAAGCACAAAGGCAAAATTCTAAAAACCCACGAAGAGTTGATCCATCGAGAGTTTCACAGGATGTAATAAGAAGCTGCCCCAAACACCAGAGAAACAGGTGGCTGTAAGCAATGGAAATGCAGACAACCCTTAGCTGCTCACCATTTCCCTCACTTCCCCAAACTTCCAGTAACGTCTAGAAGGCAGGACACTCTGCCTTCACTGCTGGAGGCTGCCTCTAGGCCTGTCCAGAACCAGCAGGGGCCACACTCAGGGTCATGTTCTAGTCACACTTCCTCCCCGCGCCAGATCCAGCCACTTCCTGTTCCCACTGAGGACAGCAGAAGTTGAAGGAGAGGAGTTCCCAGGATGTCGCAAGCCCCAGAAATAGGAAGACAAGTAATGGGTGGCTGGTTGTTGCAGGGATAGTCCCCACCGGTGTGTCCTGAAAGTAGCCGTTGCTTATCCAGCACTTCTGTCTGAACACATGCTGGTGGCGGGGAGTGAAAACCCACTTTCCTTCAACAGGTCTTTCTGGCTGGTTTAAGAATTTTGTCACCAGATGGACCCCAAGACCTGGCCCCACCCCAAGACCTATTAACTGTGCACCTACTGGTACTCAACTTTGACACTTTCCCCTAACCTCTTCTTTCCTACTTATCTCTTTATTCAGGCAGATGAAACCTGAAACCATCCCTCAGGTGATGGGAGAAGCCCAGACCACCCAGGCCTTTTGAGTGGAACCTGACTCGCATCTGCGCAGTTGGACCATGGAGTGACCTCTGGAATGAACACAATCACCTTTACCTCAGGATAGCACTAAAATCTCCACCCAGGGAGGAGTCTCAGCCTCATTTACGTAATGTACCAGGTAGGTAGAGGCATGCCTTCTTAAGGTGCATGTGCCACCTTACCCCCCCCCACCTCTACCTAGGAAGACCATGCTTCCTCATCCATATAGTCATCCTAGCCCTAAACTAAAGGAACCCAACCCATCCACCTTCTTTCTTGGGCAGTCACTGCTTTGGAAGCCATTCCCCGTGATCTCCTTATTTGCTGCAAACGAACCTTTTCTGTAGCCACTCAACCTGATGAGGTGTGACTTCCCAAGGTGCAAACTCATGTTGGTAAGTTACAACTTGACAGGAGACAGATTAACAGGAGAAAATCAGATTTAATTTTGTATATAGGAACCTCTCACATGTGTGGGGTTACCTTTTACTCAAAGGTAAAAATGAGGGGTGCCTGGGTGCCTCAGTTGGTTAAGAGTCGGCCTTCAGGGACGCTGGGGTGGCTCAGTGGTTGAGTGTCTACCTTTGGCTCAGGTTGTGATCCTGGGGATCCTGGAATGGTGTCTCATATTGGGCTCCCTGTGAGGAGTCCGCTTTTCTCTGCTTCTGTGACTCTATATATTAAAAAAAAAAAAAAAAAAAAAAAAGCCTGCCTTCCGCTCAGGTCATGTTCTGAGGGTCCTTGGATCAGGCTGAGCAGGGAGCCAGGCTGCTTCTCCTTTTCCCTCTGCTTGTACTGTCAAAATCTTTAAACTAAAAAGGGAAGGATCCCTGGGTGGCTCAGCAGTTTGGCACCTGCCTTTGGCCCAGGGCACGATCCTGGAGTCCCAGGATTGAGTCCCACATCGGGCTCCCTGCAGGGAGCCTGCTTCTCCCTCTGCCTGTGTCTCTGCTTCTCTCTGTGTCTATCATGAATAAATAAAATCTTTTTAAAAAAAAAAACTTTATAAAAAAATAAAAAGGGAAAATGAAGTCTATAGGCCATTCTGAGTTAAGGAAGAGGGTAGGCAGTGTAAGGCAATTCACAAGGCAAGAATCACAGGTGTCCCCACCCCCCCAGATGGGTCACTCGGGTAAGATTTAGCTCTGGTAAAAAAAAACAAAAAAAACAACACCCTCTCATTCTAGGAAAGGCACCCCTCTCTAATTTCAATACTTCTAGGTAGTTGAGGGGCAAAAATTTATTTTGAGCTGTTGGGTCTCACTTGGCATGTGTCCTCTTGAGATGAAGGCAGAGCCGTCATTTTGGGGAGACTAGTCCTGAGCCCCTTCACTGGGCCAAAGTAACATGTTACTCCTCCCAAGAATTCTGAAGAGTGGAGAACTCTATCTGAAAGTCGAGGAGGCCAAGTAGGAGGAAACAGCTCAGGGAGAAGAGCTAGGTGGGATGGGACCCAGGCCATCTGGTCTCACGGGTCCTGTGTGACCCAGGATGCCATTAGGCACTCAGCCTCCAGACAGTGCTTCTACACATGAAGTGACCTGCCAAGCCAGCAGTGGAAGGGAGCCAAGGTGATTCTCCGCCTCCAGGCCATGTTCTGCAGTTCCTGTGGGTATTCTTGACATGGACTGTCCATTCTGTGGCTCATTTCCACATTTTTTTTTTAAGATTTTGAGAGAGAGAGAGAGAGAGAGAGAGAGAGAGAGAGAGAGAGGTGGGGGGAGGCGGGGCAGAGATACAGGCAGAGGGAGGAGCAGGCTCCATGCAGGGAGCCCGATGTGGGACTGGATCCTGGGTCTCCAAGATCACGCCCTGGGCCGAAGGCAGGTGCTAAACCGCTGAGCCACCCGGGCTGCCCCTCATTTCCACATTGTTATGGCCCTAAGAGGCCTTCCTTCTTACTCTACCCCTTAATAGGGCACTGAGGCCCTCCGTTCTTCTAGGGCCAAGCACTCCCCCTTGCTCTCTTCCCCTCATACCCACCTCTCCCATTTTGTCCAGCTAGGATCTGCTAGCTCTTTAAAGATTTGCTCCAGGAAGCCCACCCCTCCTATACCGCCAACCTTTTACCCCCTCACATAGCACACCAGGCGGGACCTGCTTGGGGAGACAGGATTCCTTCTTGATGCTAAAACCCCTGGCCCAGTGCACTTTAACACAACTAAGTTGCCTAGAGTTTTTTTTAAGATTCTATTTATTCATGAAAGAGAAAGAGAGGCACAGAGACACAGGCAGAGGGAGAAGCAGGCTCCACACAGGGAGCCCGACATGGGACTCAATCCTGGGTCCCCAGGATCAGGCCCTGGGCTGAAGGCAGTGCTAAACCACTGAGCCCCTGCCTAGAGATTCTTAAATGCAGAGCAAGGCTGGGACAGGGCCCAAGATTCTTACCACAAATCTTCAGGTGATGCTGATAGTGCTCACAGACCACACTTAGAGGGGGCAAGAACTGATGTCAAGGGGCCTGTTCTCAGTAGAACTAGAATCACAAAACCTTGCTCTGAACATACTTTAGACCTCTGTCTCTATGCCCTGGCCAACACCCTTGAGCCCCTGCCCTCAGCCAGGCCTCAGGCTGCAGAGACAACCATTCTAGATGCAGCATTTAATTAAATTGATAGGAACCAAAAGGAACTTGTGTCAAGAAACCTGCCCAATAGATACTAGCCCCATTTTGCCCATGAGGAGCCTTAGGCTCCCAGCAGGTAATTGGCAAAGGTAGGGACCTTTACCTAGTCAGGAGAAGGAATCGGGGTCTGAGGTGAGGCTGGAGTCCACTAAGGGCCACAGCCCACTGTGTATGTGTGTGTGGGGTGGCAGCACAGGGGAGCATCACAGTTGTCAGAGAGGGAGCAGGACCTGCCCTGGAAAGGAGGCCACAGTCTGCTTGGGCACCCCCAGTGTTACCATTCCCTCCTGGGCACTCCCAGGGCCTAGGAGGCCAAGACCACTCTATTGGGGAGGCAGAGGGGGAACAAAGAAGCTCCCCTAGGGACTGGAAGCTTAAAGCAGGGTCCCAGCCCTCCTGAGGAACCACCCTGAGTTGGTGACTTGGCCACAGCATGCACTCACCACACCCCCCAGATGTGATCCTCTATAGCAGCTTTAGGCCCAAGATAGCCATTGTCCAGACCACTGCCTCTAGCCTGCTGCCGCCCCTAGAGAAGCCCACTCTGTCTTTTCCTCCCTGCCCCCACCATTAATTAAGATGCATGAGGTGGGAGGTCCAGAGACACAAAAGACCCTTTACTAGCCTGGAAGGGAGACTGACAGGGCCCACCCTGCTTTTGCCCCCAACAGCTTACACCTTGGCCTCCCTGGCAACATGGGATTGTTGCCTGGGAAGGTGAACCCTGCTCCCAGGAAGGCCTTGTTGCCCAAAGCCAGGAAAAAAAAAAAAAAAAAAAGTAAAAAGTCTGCCTTCACAGGCCAGCCTGGCCTCTCTGCTATAGACAGACCACCTTACACTAGAGATGAGACAGTCCTTGGATTGTGTTCCAACTGTGTTCTACATTCTGCCCTCACCTCCCAGCTCAGCCCTATCTGATATCACCATGCCACAATCCAGAGTTTGCTTATTCTTTTATTGGGAGACAGATGCAGGGCATATCACAGGGTGGGAAGCAGTGCGATGCCTCTTGGCAAGGACCAGGACAATGGTAGCTAGAGTCAGGGATACCACCGTGGCCAGGCCTAAACCCAACATCACAGAGGTGTGAGGAGAGGTTGACCCCTCTATACCATGATCACTAGCCTTTCCCAGGAAGATCAGAGGCCCCACGGTGATCTCTGCTTCTTCAGTCACTGAAAGACACAGGACACTTAAGGGTCACTTTAGTCCCAAACCACAGGTCAGATTGAGGATTTTGCTCTGCTTCGGTGGATTGAACTAGTAGGTTTTGTTCTGAAAGCTGCATTATATCCCCTGGAATTCCTGTTACACCCTATTCAGAACCCCTGGCTGGCACTTGGGTGGGGGGGGTTTAGAGCCTTCTAAGAGCCCCAAGGCTGATAGGTAAGAAAGCCCAGAACAGCATTCCCCCAGAGGTGCACAGACTTAAATGGGGGACAGGAAGAATGTCACCCCACAGTGACAGCAGTTACCCTGAACTGGAGGTGGGAGGACAAGACCCCTGCAGGGGTCCTAACACCTACCGTGCCTGCGATTTCTAGTGTGGGAAACAGACTTGCGCCACCCTCTCTCTAGGTGGGACAGCCTCCTGGACCGGCCTGGAAGGCCACAGCTGCCTTTGTTACAACAGCGACAAATACCAGCCGAGCCTTCTACAGGGTACCACCTGAACAGGCAAAGACAAGAAGATCAGATGGCTGTGTTGCCCTCAGGAAGCAGCCTGCTGATGTATGTACTAGCAGAACAGATGCCAGGGAGGCCAGTCAGGTTTCCTACCCCCAAGCAGCCATGTCTAACTTGTTTCTCACCTCTTGGTAGACTTGATGAAGGAACAAGCTTTGTTTAGCTGGTCTGGGACTCGGTCAGCCGGAGTGACCTTCAGATGGCAGGTAATATAGATCTAGAAGGAAGAGTAGCTGTTACTAGGTAGAAATCTAGTCACTGGACTTTAATATGCCATTTATTTTTTTTTTTTTAAGATTTTATTCATTCATTCATGAGAGACACAGAGAGAGGCAGAGAGAGGGAGAAACAGGCTCCATGCAGGGAGCCCGACGTGGGACTCGATCCCTGGTCTCCAGGATCAGGCCTGGGCTAAAGGCGACGCTAAACTGCTGAGCCACTGGGCTGCCCTAATATGCCAGTTATTTAATCCTTAACCCTTGTGGGGAGGGAGGGTGGTTTCCATTTTAGAGAGGAATAGAGGGTCAGAGGTTAAGTTGCCCAAGATTTGAAGAAGCAAATCAGATTCCTGATTGAAACCCAGCAGTTCTATTCTCTCCTTACCAGCCCCTCAATCCCCGCCCCCCCATCTTTCCCAAACTAAACACTGACTACCCTGCCACCGGGTTAAGGGAGATTACCCGAGAACAGCCCTAGTCTTCTTGGCAGAGGCATTCCCCCAGCAGAAGTTCTTCATATTCCAGATAGTGCTTTGGCATCCTCTGCCAACCCCGCAAAACATAGATGTTCTACTGCCTTCTCTGAAGCCTTCTGCAGAGCCACAAACCTTGGCCACCACCTAGTGGCCGAGTGTACCAATAGGGAAGCCACTTCAGAAATCTGAACAAGTATGTACTTCAGGCCACCCGCCGTTTCCCTTTTAAGATTTTATTTTATTTTATTTTTTCCCCTTTTAAGATTTTATTTTTTTTTTCCTTTTAAGATTTTAAAGTAATCTCTACACCCAACGCGGGGCTCAAATTCACAACCCCGAGATCAAGAGTCCCATGTTCCTGGGGCACCGGGTGCCTCAGTGATTGAGCATCTGCCTTTGGCTCAGGTCATGATCCAGGGTCCCACATTGGGCTCCTGCAGGGAGCCTACTTCTCCTGGTCTGCCTCGGTCATGAATTTAAAACAAACAAACAAACAAACAAACACATGTTCCACCAACTGAGCCAGCCAGGTGCACCCAAGGCTCCTGGCCTTCTATCTACTCCAGCAGAGGAGGGCCCCAGGGTCCCTTAGGATCCCCCTTTTAGGAAAGCACTGCTTTTATCCTCTAGCTTCTTCCTAGTACTTTTCCGTGTACGCTAGGGCCTAAGACTCTAGAATGATTCCCCGTTCCACCTGAATAAAGGTTTACTTCTCTGTATTGTGGATAGAGTCAGTCAAATCATCCCATTTACCTTTGAGGGAGAATCCTCCCAGAACTCAGGCTACCTGCCATTGACCATTGATCAGCATCATCCTCTGGTCTCTGGTCACCCAGGGACCTGGGATTGAGCCCCATGTCAGGCTCCCTGCTCAGTAGGGAGTCTGCTTCTCCCTCTGCCCCTCCCCCTGCTTGTATTCAGTCTCAAGAAATAAGATATTTTTAAAAACTAGGTATATAGGTATTTGCTGTGAAATTCATATGAAGATCTCTAAGCACTAGAAAAGGGATGCCAGTCTCCACCACAATCAAGTGAAAAGATATGGGATTTTATGGGATTTTACAACCTTTGCAGATGATTACCATAAAGCCAGAATTTTAAAAGAAATCCCTGCTACTTCCTGACCAGCTATTCTGAACTTCACATCTCCCCCCCCATCCCCACCCCTGAAGCTGCCCCCAGCTCAGGAAATTTCTTTAAGAGCTACTTAGGTTTTTATTTGTAAAATTCTACTAGCACTTTCTGGTTAGAGACTAGTCCTACCTGTACTTCCTGCACCCAACCATCAGAAGCAGTCTACATCTTAGCTCCTTCCCTCTCCGCCCTCAAGTTTTAGGTTGAGCTTTCTAGCCTAGTAGTTTAAGGGGTGGATCCCAGAGCAACAGCATCAACAGCACCTGGAGATATGTTAGGAATGCAGATTCTAGGGATGCCTGGATGCCTCAGCAGTTGAGCATCTGCCTTCAGCTCAGGTGTGATCCCAGAGTCCCGGGATCGAGTCCCACATTGGGCTCCCTGCATGGAGCCTGCTTCTCCCTCTGCCTATGTCTCTGCCTGTGTCTCTCATGAATAGATAAAATCTTAAAAAAAAAAAAGGGGAATGCAGATTCTAGGTTCTCTTGACATTAAAACCAAATCCTGGGGGTAGGGCCCAACCTATTTCAATAAACCCTCCAGATGCTGCTGACACACTCAAATTTCAATAAGTCAATGGTCTAGCCTATGATCAAGTACAAGATACTACCCTGTAGGAAAAGAAATTCATACTTGCTTTCCTTGCCCTTCCAGAAAGCCTCCAGGAAGGCTGACACCTGTTTTGTCAACCACCTCGCTCAACCCTTCATCTGGCTTCCAGCCCTGCCCATCTTGGCAGAGAACAGGTTAGTGACCTGCCCATCATACGCCATGGTGGTTGGTCCTCCTCATTGCATCTCCCCGATTTGTTCTGTTTCTAAGACCCCAGATTCTCTCCACCTTTCGCGGGTTTCCTACCTACCTCTAGGTTTGTGACATCCATGCTTCTTCCTTGAAGATCTCACTAGAGATTTTCACTTGATCTGCTAGGTGAGTTCATGGAGTCTTGGGACAGGGACAGAGCTATCAAGTCATTGCTTAAGGGTGCCCTACAGCAGGCAGTAAGCCTGGTCAGCCTGACCCCGTAGTTCAAGCTTATTCTAAGTTTTGTTTTATGTCTTTGTTTTTCCTGAAGTAGGCTCCCATGCTCAACATGAGGCTTGAACTCACAACCCTGAGATCTAGAGTCACATGCTCTACTGATGGAGCCAGCCAGGTACTCCCATTTTTTTAAATGTTAATTACCGTGTTTCTGGAGTCCTTAGCAAAGTGGAAAACATCCACTGTGAACTGAAGAGTCTCTGGCCTGGGTCTGGGGGCTTTGAAGGCCGAAGAGGCATTGTAGAGACCATCCACAAGACAGCTTTGGAAGAAGGAATGGACAATGGAATCAGGGGGCAAGGGAGGTAGTGTTATGTTGTTCCCAGGGCTCCCTAGACAGGTGGCCCAGACCTCACCCATGGAAGTCCACAATTTTGTGATGAGGGAAGGCATTCCGATCTGGTGTCAGCGTGGCCACACAGTGGTCCACAAAGAGTCGCAGTGGCATATGGCTGCCAGTGTGGACTTCAGCCTGGAGGTGGGCTATGTCTCCCAGCTGGAATGTGGGGGACTGCTTCTCGGAGCCCCAGTCCTCTGAAAGGCACACAGTCAGGGGTGAGACTCCCAGAGCTATCCCTTCCAGCCCCCTTCTCCCAGCCCTCCCTGCTTACCCTCCATTAGGCGGAGAGAGAAAACCAGCTTCTCCTCGAAGAGCATTGTGGTCCTGAAGGGCACCCAAGTGGGCAGGATGGCCTGGCTGCTCACATTGCTGTGCCTAGGGAGAAGAGCAGCTGTCTATACCTGTCTTGACCTCCCCTTCTTTGGTTTCAATAGAAAGAGGCAGGAGGTCTCTCCTTTCTACCTAAGGCTAGAGTCCTCAGCTGTGGCCCAGCCAGGCAACAAGTCCAGGGCAGCTGAAGACACCTGAAGTCTGAGCCTGCCCCTTGACCAGCCTGAACTCCACACCTGAGTGGGCCCTTCCCTCTAGCCACGATCAAATCCAGGTACACCTGAGTTTGGAGTCTGGGCTCTAGACCCATGTTGGGTGCCAGGCAGCCATCCCTCTCTGTATTGGTCAGGGTTCTTGAAGGCACCTCTGGTGAAGCCCTTCAGAGACAAATACAGATAGGCCTCTAGTTCTTTAGAAGCCATGGGGACTGAGTCTAGACCAGGATGGGAAAGTCTTGGAAGCAATAGGATATCTCCAGATGTTGGCCCTGTGGATCCCAGTGGATCTCATGGAAGAGGCAGGGTCAGTGATGCATCGGAGAACCACGCCTCAGGTATCTAGAGCTAGGATAGGGCATCCCAGCCTGTGGCAGGCCACCTGCACTGCCCACCACCATCAGCCCAGGCAAGCAAATGTTCTCAGGTCAGTCTCAGGCAGAGACATTCAAAAGCAAGATAGTCGTAGTCCCACAAGGGTCCCAGGAGGGCTTTGGCCTCTCAGACAGTAAGGGGGTAGCTGGCCTTCCCATCCTTGGCTCTACTATCTTCCCCCACCCAACTAGGTCAGGCACTGAGCTCCCTCCACCCTTGCTGCTGTGGCTCAGAACTCCTACCACAGCTCAGCTGGTTTCACGGACTCCATATGCCTCCTGTTCTGGCTGCCAGAGGACCTCTGGGTTGAGAAACAGTCCTACCCATTCAGCTTGATTCTCAGGGAGGGGTGCTCATTAAGATGGGAGCCTGAGCACCCTCTCTGATCTGTTGGGCCTTTTGAACCCCTCTGTCCCTCACTACCTTTGTTGACTAGACCCTGGGCTCCAGACCCCTGGGCAAAAGCCCCTATTAATGGGCACACTACACTGCCCTGGGATGTATGTGGTACCCTTCCAGGATCTTGTTCTGGGAGCCTCTACACCATGACCCTTCCCCAGACCCATGCCCTCAGGGTATCAGCACCACCTCCTTCACTCAGCTGAGCCACACAGGAACTGGCACTCTGGTCTTGTCATTATAAGCCATCATCACCTTCTCATGCCTCCGTGTACAAGGTCACAGGCACATGCTTGGTGCTAGGGCTTGAGGGGTTTCTTCCACCTGTGCATACGTACTGGGAGAAACCATAGGCAAAAAGCAGGCTGTGATAGCCCAAGCCTAGAAATTCTCCCTGCATGGAGTTTTTCTCAACTTCAAGGTGGGCATGGGCTGGGCAGCCCTGCAGCTTCCACCAAGAGGCCACTGGGACCTGGGTGCATTTCAGAGGCTCAAGATAGACTCAGCCAGCTCCCCGCTCCCAGCTGGCGCACAGAGCAGTGACCTCAACCTAAGTACTTCCACCTTCTTGCAGCTGTGCTGCCAGAACGGGCCTCTGCACCAGGGGCAGCAGCAGGCCCCATCCCACACTAACCTGGGGTAGTGGCACTCGATGGGAACCTCAGCACGGTTAGTTCTCAGGATGGACAGGTTGCCCGCAGGGCGGGGGCTGTGGATCAGGAAGGTGCTGTACACCAGAGCATTGTCAGTCACCTGAAGGGGACAGGAGGGGTTAACCCCACCAGCATCACCTGCCCTAGGTATGTCAACCCACACAAGGGCACAGATAGGACTGCCCACCAGAGATGGAGAGAATACAGGCCCTGGACTCAAAGCCCACCCTCCCGCTGACCCATGGGAAAGCCTGAGCAGCTATCACCCTCGAACCTTCATTTTTTCTAGCCCTGAAATTGTCATACCACTGCAGGTAGTCTGGATCAGCTCAGTGTCAGGCACCAAGGGATGCCCAATGACCAGGGGTATTGGGCATGTGCTCTCCTTCTCAGGCTCCCGCCCCTATCTCAACAGTTTCCTTTTGGGGGTGGAGGATAGGGGTGGCTTTAGGCCTGAGACCAAGAAAGCCACTTTGAAGAACCCAGAAATTTTCAGGAACTTTAACTCATTCATTGCTAGTTTTCTTGAGTTGCCCTTCCTTTTCTGACTTCTTCTCATACCCACATCACAGGAGAGGAAACTAGGTCAGTGGTTGCCTGAGGCAGGAAGAGCTCAGGTAGGTGCTACTGGGATATTTGCATCTTCCAAGGGGCCACACAGGAGAAGATAGTGCTGCTGCCTAGCCCTGCCCAAATCACCTCATCTTTAGGGGAGAGTCCTAGCTTCCTATTACCTACAGCTCCAAATGTACCAGTAGCAGGATCTCTGGGTTGCTCTATTCACAAGCTCAGATTTTCGGGGCATTAAACCAATCATGGACTGGTGAGATGGCACAGGTCCCGGCCCCAGGTAATTCTAACCAGGTAGGATTGGGAGACCCCACCCTGGAGAAAAGCATGGCCAGGTTGTGCTCATTGGAGTCACCTGGGGACCTGTAAGACTTATCTGGCTTCCACTTCCTGCCTGATTTAGCATAGGAGATGGGAATCAGGATTTTAAAATGCTCCAAGTGATTTTAATGCTCAAAGTTGGGGAGTTACTCTATTAGAATAATTCCTCACAAAACTCTTGCAGTTCTCAAAGCCTCCTGTCTTCCCCCTGGGGAAAGAGGGGCCAAGAGGCCTCAAGGCAAGCCCTGGCAGGGGTGGGAGGGGCAGCATGTCAGCTCAGAGCCTCAGGAGGGTTCCAGGTCCTTACTGACTTTGTCCCCACCCTAGTCAAGCTGAGACTGGAGTCCAGGGCCTGGTCGGCAGGAGCTGGGGCCCAGGACAGGGCAGAGGACCAGCTGTGGGGTGGGAGTAAGCAGTTCAGGTAATCCTGCACAGATGGGCTAGGGATCTTGTGCAAGTCCAGCCCTGCCTTACTGGAAGGCCCTCCTGCAGCCTGAACTACTTAGTTTCTCGGTACCTGCCTCCCACATTACACTTCCCTACCCCTCTGCTTGGAACTAACTACCCCCCACCCCCCCGCCGCTGCCTTTAACACAGAGGTGATCATAATACCCTTGGCTCTCTCCTTCAAAACCACTTCTAGTTCAGGGCCTCAGGTTAAGCATGAGGGAGGGATGGGATGCACACATGTTTTTTTCTTGTGATTACTTCGGGCTTTCTAAGAAGTCAAAGTTGATCTCTGCCACACAAGTTTCTAGGGACCCTGAAAATGCTAGGCGCCACACACAAACACCCCCCCCCCACACACACACACCCATATCAGCCAATCTCCTCTGGATGCCCTCGAGGGGTTTACAAATCCTCTGGATTCATGCTGGGCAATGCCCTATGGCCCAGAGTGCACAGCGCCCTCTGGACTCCACTTGGCGGGCCTGAATCCAGCCATTCCCCAGTCGCCAATACCCAGCTTCAAGCCTCAGTTGCTTTCTGCCGCCAGCAAGTGAAAGAACCTGGCCCAGCCCCACCTCTCACTGGCTCTGCATCCACACTCCCCAGGACCACCAAGGGGGCTACGTCTCACCTGCACCCTGCTGCCACACTCGTGTAGCCCAACCTCAAACCTGACCACATCATCCGTGTCCATGGAGACCAGGGGCTCACAGTTCTCTGGACCCAGGGTGAGGTCTGCTGGCCTGATGAGCTTCCCAGTACCAAAAAGGTCTTTGCTGACAGTGACCACCAGCTGGGACTCCAGACAGTCCACCATCACTGGGGGCCTAGATGTCAATGGGTAGTAGGTCTCAGTTGGCCAGATGGTCTGGGGGCAGCACAGCTCCATGCCTCCCAGGAGCAGAAAACAGATGAAAATTCCATAGCTCAGCCCCATAGCTCCTCCAGTCACTCCCACTGGTAACCACAGTACAGCCACCATTCAGCAGTCTTATACCCCAGATGATGCTGCTCGCACCTGGGCTATCACCCACCTCCCCTCCCCAACCAATCAGTGGGTCGGTCCCCGATCTAGCAGCATCATCATCACCTGGGAGCTTGTTAAACCTGAAGACTCTCAGCCCCACCCCAGACCTATGGAGTTAGAATCTAGTGTTTTCCTCTTTTCCCAAGTGATTTGTATTTGAGTTAAATCTGACAAGTGTGGGTGGGCAGCCTAGTCAGTCCCACGGCCTTGCCGCCCCCCCCCCCAACTCCCGTGTGTCTATCCTTTGCTGGCCCAGTGAGGGAGTGAAGAGCTGTCCCAGGTCCATGGGAGGAGACAGGGAGAAAGGCCTCGATTGAAGGGTGGGAAGGATAATCAGGGGTGGCAGGGAGTTCATTCCAAGTGAGATAACTGGAGGCAACATCATTAGGAGACCAGGGAACTTTAGGGGTCATCGCCCAATTTTATGGGAGGTAGGATGGGAGGTCGGTTCAGGCAGAGGCAGCTGTGTGAACAGAATCAAGGAGAGGGCACTGGGCTGGCTTGGGAGAAAAGCCTAGGAGCTCAGAATTGCTGGAACCTCAGTACCTAGGATGTGAGAGTGATGGTTTGGTGTGCTGGGGAGTTGGGTGAGGCGATCTGAGAGACTGACTGAGAAGGGGTAGGACCAGAGATGAGGGTCGGGTGGCTACTGTGCCAGTCCTGCCAGGAGAGGGTGAAGAAGGAGTGATAGGGGCAACATTTACTGATGGCCTGCTCTGCTAGGAAGCAGAGGAGGACTGCAACAGTTAATGGTGCCAGGGTCACCTGGATGGCTCAGTCGCAAGAACATGTGACTCTTGATCTCGGGGTCATGAGTTCAAGCCTCACATTGGGTATGGAGATTACTTAGAAATAAAAATTAAATATTAATGGCACCTAATTCCTAGGAACAGAAGTGTGGACTCAGTTGCAAATGCTTGCCTCTGAAGTCATCAAACCATAGGTTTAAGTTGCTTAAAGAGTCCCTTGGTGGGGTTGGGGGGGCATTTTTAAAAAATATGTAATCTAGTTTACTTGTGGGAAAATAAATAAATGGAAGGAAGAGAAGAGATTACCCCAACATCCTTTGACTTAACCAACATGAGTTGATGGGCAGTGGTGCGGGATGTGGAGGCAGCCAGCACAGAGAAGCAGCTCCAGGGACGCCTGGGTGCCTCAGTGGTTCTGTCAGCCTTCAGCTTGGGGCATGATCCTGGGCCCTGGGATTGAGTCCTACATTGGGCTCCCTCTGGGGAGCCTGTTTCTCCTTCTGCCTATGTCTCTGCCTCTCTCTATCTTTCATGAATAAATAAAATCTTTTTTTTTAAGATGTTATTTATTCACTTATGAGAGACAGGGGGAGAGAGAGAGCCAGAGACACAGGCAGAGGGAGAAGCCGGCTCCATGAAGGGAGCCTGATGGACTCGATCCTGGGACTCCAGGATCAGGCTCTGGGCTGGAGGCAGTGCTAAACTGCTGAGCCACCCAGGCTGCCCCAATAAGTAAAATCTTAAAAAAAAAAAAAAAAAACAGCTCCAAGCTCACCTGGGTGACCCACCCAGGGGGAAATCCTTCCCTCTGGGTTCCACATGTTAAATAACAAAAATTCAACCCAGTAAATTTTATTTTAATTAATTTATTATTTTAAGATTTTAATTTTTTTTTAAATATGGAACACTGGGGTACCTGGGTGGCTCAGTCAGTTAAATGTCTGCCTTCAGCTCAGGTCATAATCCTGGGGTGCTGGGATCGAGCCCCATGTCAGGCTTCCTGCTCATTGAGAAGTCTGCCTCTCCTCTTACTCATGCCCTCTCTCTCTCTCTCTCTCTCTCTCTCTCTTTCTCTCTCTCTCTCTCCCTCTCCCTCTCTCTCTTTCTCTCTCCTTCAAATAAATAAATAAGGAACACTTCATGAATTTTCAGGTTATTCTTGTGCAGGGGCCATGCTAATCTTTTCTGTATTGTTCCAATTTTAGTATATGTGCTGCTGAAGTGAGCACTTCAAGATTTTATTTTACTTTTCATTTTATTTTTTAAAGATTTATGAGAGTGTGGGCTCATGCATCTATGAATGGGGGGAGGGGCAGAGGGATAGCGAATCCTCAAGCAGGCTCCACACTGAGTGGGGAGCCTAATGTGAGGCTGGCTCCCACTGCTCATAAGATCATGACCTGAGCCGAAACCAAGAATCAGATGCTTAACCAACTAAGCACCCATGTGCCCCAAATATTTTATTTTTAAGTAATCTCTACACCCAATGTGGGGCTTGAACTCACAAACCCGAGATCAAGAGTCAGATGCTCCACCAACTGAGCCAGCCAGGCTCCCGAACCCAGTCAATTTTAAAAAGCTAATTGGCTTTATTATTTGGCTCATGAATCAGGTAGCACCCCATCTAACAGAGGGGAACCCCAAAGGGCCACAGGAAATGAAGGGTTTTTTTTTTAAGATTTTATTTATTTTTTCATGAGAAACACAAGGAGAGAGAGGCAGAGACACAGGCATAGGGAACCCCATGCAGGACTCGATCCCAGGACTCCAGGATCACACCAGGGGCCGAAGGCGGCGCTAAACTGCTGAGCCACCCGGGCTGCCCTGAAATTTTTAAAAATAGAGAAGGAGAGACACCTGGGTGGCTCAGTGGGCTAAGCGTCTGACTTTGGCTCAGGTCATGATCTCAGGGTCTTGGTATCAGATCCCGCATCAGACTCCACAATCAGTGGGGAATCTGCTTCTCTCCCTCTCCCTCTCCCTCTGCCCCTCCCTCCCATATACTCTCTCTACTCCTTCTTTCTATAAGATAAATAAATCTTTTAGGGCACCTGGATGGCTCAGCCAGTTGATTGTCAGACTCTTGGTTTTAGCTTGGGTCATGATCTCAGCCTCATGAGGTGGAGCCCCACATCAGGCTCCATGCTCAGCAGGCAGTCTGCTTGAGATTCTCTCACTCCCTCTGTGTCTCCTGCACCCCTGCTTGCTTGCTATCTCTGTGAAATAAATAAATCTTAAAAATAAATTCTTTTTTTTAAAAGGTTTCATTTCTGAGGATTTGAAACTGCAGTTAGGTTAGGTATTAAGTCTTGGTTTCCTGACTTGGGGCCTTAACACAAGTAATGCTTTGTTGGACCTGGTTTTCTTTTTCATCTGCCTACCAGGTCCAGAGGGAGGGAGCCAGCTGTGGCCCAACATCCCAAGGAACAGCTAGTTGGAGACACTCTATCTGGGAGTGGTGGCCCTCTGGGGAAGGGGCCTCTCCATACTTGTAGCCCACAGCTGTACTTGTAGATTGTGCTGTAAATAAGGTTGGGTGGGCTGGGAACTAGAAATCAGGGCCTCCCTCCTTGGGATCCATCCCCTCTCCCTCTCTGCCCTGGAACTAACTAACCCTCCTAGAAGTCTTCTGGATAAAAGGACATAGGGCACCTGGCTGCCTCAGTTGGTGGAGCACGTGACTCTTGATCTCAGAGTCATGAGTTCAAGCCCCACATTGGGCTTGAGAGTTTTCAAACAAATAAGAAATAAGACTTGAAGAAATTGGTGAGTGGATGTGAAGCATGTATTGGGGGAGAGGAGGATAGAGGAGAGTATGCATATGAAGCGGTGGTAAGTTTGTGTCTCCCCTTTCCAGAAAAAGGACCAAAGACATCCCCATCAAGGATTCTGGGGGATCCCTGGGTGGTGCAGCGGTTTAGCGCCTGCCTTTGGCCCAGGGCGCGGTCCTGGAGACCTGGGATCGAATCCCACGTTGGGCTCCCGGTGCATGGAGCCTGCTTCTCCCTCTGCCTGTGTCTCTGCCTCTCTCTCTCTCTCTCTCTCTCTCTCTCTCTCTCTCTGTGACTATCATAAATAAATAAAAATTAAAAAAAAAAAAAAAAAAGGATCCTGGCCAGTCCACCCCCACTCTCTCAACCCAGCCCAGATTCGAGGTCTTTTGTGTTTTTCTGAGGAGTGCTGCCACCTGGTGGCCAGAATCACCAAAGGCACAGCCACCTGCCCACAGCGTTTCCCTTAAAATTCCTTAGATCCCAGATTCTGGTCTCTAAATACTATTCCTCTCTAACAGGGGGACCCAGGGCTCCTTGGAGGACTGGCTGATTCCAAGGCTAGGGGCAGGAAAGTACAAGGTGAATCTAGAATATCTTGTGATGGTGAATATGTTCATAAAATGATGAGGACGTGTCAAAAGGACACAAGCCAAATTGAACAGAGGAGCAGTGGTCCCACTGGCCAAGCTGGGGACAACTGTGCACCAAAATGAATGATGAGATCAAGGACTCGACGTCAAATAAAGTAAGAATCCATGGGCATCCATTCTGACGATACATAAAAACACATAAATGAGAATATTTTTCTGTAAAAGAGAAGAAACTCCTTAAGTAGAACACTATCACAGGAGGAATGATCATTTGGAAAGTGACCATTTACAGGCTCCTGGGGGGCACAGTTGGTTGAGCATCCTACTCTTGGTTTCAGCTCGGGTCGGGATCTCAGTGTTGTGCTATCAAGCCCCTTGCCTCCGGCTCTGTGCTCAGCAGCTGAGTCTGCTTGAGATTCTCTCTCTCTCTCTCTCTCTCCCTCTGCCCCAACCCCACACATGCACTCTATCTCTGAAATAAATCCTTTAAAAAATGACCAGTTGCAGTCATCATAATAATAGATTCAGGCAAGAATTATCAATGCATATTAAAAATTAGTAGGGGTGCCTGGGTGGTTCAGTCAGTTAAGTGTCTGCCTTCAGCTTAGGTTGTGATCCCAGGGTCCTGGGATAGAGTCCCACATCGGGCTCCCTGCTCAGTGGGGAGCCTGCTTCTCCCTCTCCCTCTGTTACTCCCCCTGCTTATTCTTTCTCTTTCTGAGAAATTAAAAAAAATAACATTTTTAACATTTATTGAGGATTCTTGCCCAAATCTGTCCATATCATAGTGGTTACAA